TGATGTAGTGGGCAGGCCATACACTCTGGGCATCCATTGGTGTCTGTGTTTGGGCTGAGGGTGACCCCTACTGGCCGGTATCTGCAGCACTGCCCAGCAGGACGGCTGCCTAAGGTCACATAGGCACAGACCCAACCTGTCCGACCAGTTGAGGGCAGGGACAGAACAAAGGAAGGGAGGTTTCGAGGGAAGGGGCAGTTGCTGGCTGGGAACATGAAGGAAACAGCCTAAGGTGAGGGCTGAGGGTCTAAGGTGGGCAATAGACCCCCTAATCCAAGGGGTCTGAGGCATCCTGGCCCTGACTCCTGAAACTACAGTACATCTATGCTGTGCTGTATCCTGGAAGAGCAATAAACCCTGTGGCTGTGTCTAGACTGGCAAGTTTTTCTGCAAAAGCAGCTGCTTTTGGGGAAAAACTTGCCAGCTGTCTACACTGGCCGCTTGAATTTCCGCAAGAACACTGACGATCTCATGTAAGAAATCAGTGCTTCTTGCGGAAATACTATGCTGCTCCCGTTTGGAGATCGGGGCTTTTTTGTGCAAAAGCGCATCTAGATTGGCACGGACGCTTTTCCACAAAAAGTGCTTTTGCGGAAAAACGTCCGTGCCAATCTAGACGCTCTTTTCCGCAAATGCTTTTAATGGAAAAACTTTTCCGTTAAAAGCATTTGCGGAAAATCATGCCAGTCTAGACATAGCCTCTCTGTTCTACTGGCTGGCAGAGGCTGTTCTTGCTACGGGGCTGCAGGATCGGGGGGACCCCGACTCGCCGTCACACCCTCCAGCTCATGAATTCCCTGCAACGTGAAACCACCTAAGACCTTTATTTGGGAAAACACAGCAAGTGGAGCAAGTGGATATTTGCAGAACAGTACAATCAGCAAAACCCTAAGTAGGGTACATGAGGACAGGCTCATCACACAAACTCCACTCCACCTACAACTCATAAACCTGGTTAGATCTTGTGGCAACAGGGTGACCAGATGTCCCCATCTTCTAAGGACAGTCCTGATATTTGGGGCTTTGTCTTACACAGTCCCATCCCCCCTACCCCACACACTCCATCCTGATATCTCATACTTGCTCTCTGGTCACTCTTCTAAGGACAGTCCTGATATTTGGGGCTTTGTCTTACACAGTCCCATCCCCCCTACCCCACACACTCCATCCTGATATCTCATACTTGCTCTCTGGTCACTCTAAGCAGCAGTTCTACATGGTAGCGTTCCCTACCTGTGTGCTTTAGCCTAGAGCAGTGTTTCTTAAACTTTTTCCTAAACGGCAGTCCTACCAGGTAGCGCTCCCTACCTGTGTGCTTTAGTCTAGAGCAGTGTTTCTTAAACTTTTTGAGACCACGGAACACTGAACAATAATATTTTTTTACGCGGAACACCGATGAAAATTTTCTTCAAAAAAAAATTGTTGTCAGACAAAAACAAAGAAGAGGTCGCGGCACACCTGCGAGTTGTTCACGGAACAGCAGTGTTCCGCAGCGCACAGTTTAAGAAAGATGTGTCTAGAGAACCCAGCAGAAGTAAGCCTTGTACCACTCCACAAGTCCATGCCACGACCGGTCCAGCCAAAGAACATCTCATGGGGTTCTAAAGCTCTCGGCTCACAGTTAAAGAAACACGGGTCTAGAGAGCCCAGCAGAAGTAAGCCTTGTACCACTCCACAAGTCCATGCCACGACCGGTCCAGCCAAAGAACATCTCATGGGGTTCTAAAGCTCTCGGCAGGAAACCCACTTCCTAGCAGAATCCAACCTGGAATGGGAATTTCTGAACAGAGGGTCCTTGTATTCCAGATAGATACAAGGGAAGTAGTCTGTCCCCTTGAGTTCTCGACCACTCGCTGCCTTTTAGAGCAGGGTGACCCGTTTTTTGTGAGGCTTTACCTTTTGTAGTTCCTCTCCCAATACGTACATGGAATCACAGGATTGGAAGGATCCTTGAGAGGACTTCTGGTCCAGTTACCTGCCCTCATATGTTAATGTGCACCGTTCAATATCATTTCTAGCAGGCACCACCAACCTCCAAACAATACACCATAAAGCACTGAGATTACAATATGTAAATGAAGTCTGTCAGAGCTAGTTTTTCCCTTTTCTTCCACAGGGGGGAAGCAGAGATGCCTGTTCCTCTCAGCCTTGTAGCTCTGCGGCCTACACACTGGGATTAGCCTTTTTTCACAGTCTCTCCTCAATAGCATAGGGCTTTTGTCTCACATGATATGTTAGTATGTTAGCACCACACAAACATAGATGGGGTTTATCTTCACAGCAGGCCTCCAAGGCCAGGTCTCCATGATAAACATAACCTGAATAATTCATTGCTCACTCAGGAGTGTGAAAAATCTGGATGCCTTAGCACTGGTCTACACTAGGGCTTTATTTCGAAATAACCCCCCTTAGGTTGAATTTATAAGCGGAGCTTCCACACAAACAGCCCGTTCTTTCGAATTATGGGCCACTTCTTTCAAAATCTGTACTCCTGCTTTCCTCAAGGAACAATGCTAATTTCAAAATAGTTATTTCAAAATAGCGGTAGGGTGGATGTACCAGTGCCGCTATTTCAAACTAACGACACCCTAGAGTCATTGAACTCATTACTCCCCGGTACTTCCTGGGTGCCAAGTTTGAGTTAGCACATCTACAATAACAGAACTTGCCTCGGACTCATTTTGAGGCTCCCCTATAGTGTGGACACGCTAGTGGGATTTGGTAAAATCGGGAGTTATTAAGTCGAATTTAGTTATTTTGAAATAGTTTCCTAGTGTAGACATAGCCTCAGTGGAACAACATCAAAGCTAGGAGTAGAACCCACGTCCACCAGGTCAGCAGGGATGGCCCCGTAAATGCAGGATTCTTCCATGCAGTGCGCTAGCAATGTCACAAGTGGAAAGACTTCCATCATTACTCTTGGGCAATGTTTCCCAATTTTATTTTGCCACGAAACCCCAAGGCTCCGCAGTATTTCACTGAGAAAAAAAAAAAACCTGCCACAGCTCTATCTCTTTAAGAGGGGGTGAGGGAGTGCTGGCTCTTCGCGGAACCCTTGTTTTCACTTCACGGAACCCCAAGATTCTGTGGCACACCAATTGGGAAACACTGCTCTTGGGGAAACGATTCCACAGCTGAATAGACACCGGCATCAAGAAACATTACTTGACATCCAACCATTGCTGCAGCTTCCATAATTGGCTGATATATTATTAATGGAAGGCAAAATAAATACCGGCATTAATGCTAGTGGACACCATCATGTACTAATAGCTGTTAGAGTAATTTATTTGCCTTGTTTTTAGCTTCTATTAGTCTTTTTATAGAGTGTTACAAGGCCCTTGTGAATCCATTAGCCAGTCAGCCATGTGAAATTAATGTAGAACAATTTTCAGAAGCGTTACTCAGAACTAATAATAATTAGGCATTATTTCCCTGCAGATGACACAGAAAATAAAGTCTGACTTTTATGCTAAGAGGGGTTTGCATTAGCTTAAGGTGGATGAATTAATTTTCATTTACAAGGCTGCTCTGCTAGCTAGCTAGAAAGCACCCAGGTAATTAAAACCAATTTGCTTACCACAATCCTACTGCAGAGTTTTATCATTGCTGAAAGTCCTTGGCTTTTATCGTGTTTTCCAAGGAGTTGGATGGTAAATAGCCATTGCTGTATGCTGCATGACTAAGCATTCTCTTTCCAGATAGCTCCAGAGAATCTAAGAAAGGTTTCAAAATTAATAGGACCAGAAATCATTTTGCAACATGCCTCTTTGAGAGCGAATGGACAGATTAGGTGAAGGTTTTGAATACTTCCTGCCATATGCTGAGCACCTTCAATTCTGTTTTTCACTGGGAACTGACAGAATGTAGATTTGCTCATGAGAGATCCCTTAATATAAATAAAATGCTATTCATTGTTGCCTTCATGTGATTTATTTACTTGCACTTGATAAGTCAGCCACTAGATGTCTCTCTGTTGCACAGAGTTCCAGCTAGGGCGTGATCACCGGTAAACAAAGGAGACAAAGCTGGAATTCAAGCTGTGTTGTCTGAGCTTTCTTTGAGCCAGCAGTTAGTAAAAATAAATAAATAAATAAATATCTCCTGTTTAGAAGGACACTGCTTGAATATTAGCACTTGTTCTAATTACTACAATGGATACTTTCTTTATATGTTGATTAATGAGCAAATTGCAGAAAGTACTCTGGGTTAGCTTATGTTTTTTATTCCACCTTCTACTAACTAAATCAAACATTCAAAAGCAATGAAAGTGAGATTCTGACTGGTTAGTTATAAGGCCAGATTTGAAATTCCCAAGCATCTTCAGTGGCTACAACTGAAAAACTATTTATTAGCAACAATATCTAAGATACTACTGTATTTCCCGGTCCTGTACTTAGGCAAGGAAGTAACTGCTTGCTCTGATGCAACTCTTTGAGACGTGCTGACTTTTGAAGTGGTCAGGATTTTTGTTTTCCAGATGTCTGTGTTGATTGATCTAGTCTCTTTGTCTCTGCTCTCTCTACTGTATCGCTAAGCTATTACCCATCGCATTGGCATAAGCTCAGATCAGTAACTTGGAGTATGTCTAGACTGCATCCCTCTGTCAGCAGAGGGATGCAGATAAGGCAGGTCAACATTGCAAATGAGGCAGGGATTTAAATATCCTGCACCTAATTTGCATAAAATGGCTGCCACGTTTTGTCCCCGCCCCAGAGCCTAAGGGGGTTCACAAAATCCACTGACTCCAGCACCCCGGAAAAGTAAATCTGGCCTATGGGAAGTCCTGAACCTCTGTCCTTCCTGTCCCTTCCCCTCACCCTCTGGAGGCTGGAGTGCCAGAAGAGTGAGGTGTGTCAGTTGGGGGCCACATCAGTGAGGGTTGGGGGTTTTGGGAGGAGGTTTTTGCTTCACTTGTGTGGTCCCTAACTGACTCTTCTGTGGGACAGTGACCCCCAACTCAAAAGATGTTCCCCATCTCTGCTATAAATACACTAAACTGGATGGTCTCATACGATAGCATTTTGCTAACTGGTAATTCTAGCTCCTTCCCAGACTCAGTTTCCTGACTCCTCAGTTTCCCATCGAGGGGTGTTGGGAGGATAAATCCATTAAAGACCATGGAGTGCTTTGAGACTGACTGATGAAACAACTCTATAAGAAATAGGAATTATTATGTAGCTTACTGTAAAGGAGAGGAGAGTTGGATAATGAAACTGAATTTTTATTATGATTTGGAAATCATCACTAGAAAAATAGAAACAGAGAAAAAAAGAGGAGCAAAGATCCAGGAGGCAGAGGTCTCTTGCTAGCACCTGAATGCAGCCGTCTGGAAATCGTGATGTTATCCAGCCCTTCGGGAATGAAAGGTTTCCCTTCCCGGGCTGTCTCTGCTTGTATCCACGCCAAGTAGTTGAAAATGAAAGTATATATTCCAGGATGCTCTTTTTTCCTGCAGCCTTCTCCCCAGCTGACTATGCCAACTGCAAACCACCTCTTGATGTTCCCATAAGTGCAAACCAAAGGTCCCCCGCGGTCTCCCTAGGGGTTAAAAAGACATCACAATGGGCATCTTTTATAGCAGCTGGATCTCAGCGTTAAGCCAGAAATGGGCCTGAATGAGGAAAATCAAATACCAAAGCGTGAACATTTCACAGAGAGGCCCATCTCTGTGAGATCTATGTGGAACAATTCAGCAGGGCAGATGCTTTCTCAGTGTGAGAGTCTGATGCTTGGTTGAGGATCATGAGCAGCAGCAACAGAAGCTATCCCCACACCACCCTGTCGATGTGCCTTACTCTTAGAAGACAATCCCTGAGAAAGGAGGGGAGGAGAAGAGAGAGAGAGAAGCAAGACAGGGTGTTGGAGAGACCATTCAATGCTTGGCCCTTCTCTACCAAGACTACTAGAGAGGGGGCTAGCTAGTTGCCAGTCGTGATTGGGGTTGGGTGGAAGGAGATGAAATGACATTTCAACAGCTCAGCAGCAAACTATGAACAATCAATCCAGAAAAATCTTTCTGTAACATGGCTAAGGGCTTCAAGAACAAGCTCCCGTTGACAAAGGAGACCAGATGACGTGAACAAACCTCCACCACGGATTACCGCCAGGCACTTGCATTTGCTGGTGTGGCATGAAAGAGCATGATTTGTTGAGTTTCCTGTCTGATCTGTGAGTACACATCTAGCCCTGGCACTCCTATCTAAGAGAGCGAGAACCAACGTACGGCAATGATCAAAAAGCACTCGGTAAGTTACAGTCTCTCTCTTGTAAATTTCATACCAGGTGGTTTCAGTCTAAGTGCTTTAAAGGCAGGGCTATAAATATCACAGAGGTCTCTCTCTCACCAGGCCCAGCATTTTATTTTCTTGGCCACCAATAATTTATGTGGCACGTACAGAATCCAATCTAAAGGCACAGCCAGCATTCCCAGGCAATGCTGTCTCTCTCTTTCATCCCCCTTTGAAAAGCAACCTTGATGATGGTCCACACCGCCTCCCCCATACCTGCAGCTCCCCAGAACTGCTCCCTTGGATTCACTAATGAGCAAGGAAACGGCTTGCTGCTCCCAGCAAAATCTATAGCCGACCTCCTCGTGGCTTCAATGGATGGTGGAGGCAGGCCCACAGGGTGTTAACCTTTTTTTCCTGGTGGCTTTTTTGGGGGGAAGACATCAAAAAAAATGGTAAATGTGGAGTAAGTATTGCAAAAACTCATCATGGGTGTTATTTACTAACATGCACATGGCAGTAGCGCTTTGGAGTCTCAGTCGTGGACCAGGGTTGGGGGCTGGACTTGATGACCTCCTGAGGTCTCTTCCAACCCTAGGATTCTAGGATTCAGGGTACCAGCTGAGCTGGGCACTACAGAAACAGAATACGAAGGGGGGCCTTGTCCCCATTTTAACCACAGAATCATAGAACACTCGATTCGGAAGGGACACGAGAACACTAGAAACGGAAGAGGTCATCAAGTCCAGGCCCCTGCCCTCACGGCAGGACCAAGCACCATCCAGACCATCCCTGACAGGTGTCTGTCCAACCTGCTCTTAAATATCTCCAGGGATGGAGACTCCACAACCTCCCTAGGCAATTTATTCCAGTGTTTCACCACCCTGACAGGTAGGAAGTTTTTCCTAATGTCCAACCTAAACCTCCCTTTCTGCAGTTTCAGCTCATTGCTTCTTGCCCTTCTTGTCTTGGGACCATATAGTTCAGCGATCATATCGATGCTTTCCTTGCAATGACCTCTGACTCATACCCTCGGACTAGGCTCAGGCTAAGTCCATGTTGGCACTTGGCAGAGCTGCGCTCCCAGCACTCGGAGCTACTCCCCTCCTGGCGGTGGTTTACACGGAGCTCCGGGAGATCTCTTCCCCAGAGCTCATGCCACGGCCACGCTTTGCACTTTTCAGTGTAGACAAAGCTTAGGCACCGTGTCCCATTTGAACAAACCTCTTCTAAGGCCCGAACGCTTTGAAATCAAAGGGCATTTCTCTAGTGCCTTCAGCAAAGGCAGGATCAGGCCCCATGTGCTTTATGCTGTGGCAACGAGGGGGCATGGTATGCGTCCTAGGGTACGTCTAAACTACATGCCTCCGTCGACGGAGGCATGTAGATTAGCCAGATCGGCAGAGGGAAATGAAGCCGCGATTAAAATAATCGCGGCTTCATTTAAATTTAAATGGCTGCCCTGCTCTGCCGATCAGCTGTTTGTCGGCAGATCGGGGCAGTCTGGATGCGACGCGCCGACAAAGAAGCCTTTCTTGATCGGCACAGGTA